AAATGTGGCAGCCACGCCTCTCTCTCTCTCTCTCTCTCTCTGTGTGTGTGTGTGTGTGTGTGTGCAGTTTGTAAGTTCGCAACAGCTTGTGATCTGTATAAATAACTTCAATAAAGTTTTTTCTGAAGACATTGCTGGTACGTATAATTTGTCATCCTATCCTGCGCTGTGAGTGGACGAATTATCGTAAACATATCGAAACTAGATTTATATATAAGTAAATTAATTTAATTTCTATCGTCAAACTACTTTTTATTTTTGAACTAAAAATAATATTGGTCTAATTTTTAATTAATACTCAGGTACCGAAAACGATATTATTTACTCATACATATACAAAAATAACTTTGTCAAAAGAACAATTTTCTATGTTATACAGTAAACATATTTTTAATATCAATATATATATACAAATTAAATGTTACATAAAAACAGAATTAAAAGAAATCATGTACAAACTTTTTAAAATTTCTATTGTTAGTTCAGTTTTTAAAATAGAATTTTCTTGTTTTAATTTAAAATTAAGATCACCTAAAGCAGTGTTTATCAACAGGGGCGATATCGCCCCCATGTGGGCGTTTTTCCATGTTGAGGGGGCGATTAGTAACAATTTATATTTTGGGGGGCGAAAAACAATTTTCTGGGCGATATAGTAAAACATTATATTAAGAATAATTAGACATTTTATTCGTTATATCGTACAATAATTAAACAAATAACATTATTGTAGTCACTAGTCTATTCGATGCAGTACGAATTTGGCGTTAGCCTTGGCCCTCGGCATCGGAATTTTGAAGTTAAGGGGGCGATACTACGTAACGGTTTTATTGAAGGGGGCGACGATTATTTACAGGTTGAGAAACACTGATCTAAAGTTTTATAATCATTACATTTAAGTGATTCTTCTAGTTTATCCCGTTTATTTACATCTAAAAGTTTTCCTGTTACTTTTTTTTTTCTATTTCTTTGTAATAAACGATTCTTTCTTTGATTCTACTGATTAATAATTTCATTTTCTATATTTATTAAATTTACTGTCGGTAGTAAAGTTTTCTTTAGTTTAGGCTTTGCCAATAAACCTAATAACTCGGTTTTTAAATTTCTCTCAAAATCATTTTCTGTGAAATGATCAGAGCGAACATAACAAGAATCAGGATTGAATTTGTCTTTTCTTTTACAATTATGAATCCATTTTCTTATTATTGGATCTTTAGGAAATCTAAAATAACCAACTTTCCTGTTTAATAAATTTGTGTTATGATAGCTGTTATTACAAGTTGCAACAACACATGATGCTCCTGTCATCTAAAAATAAAAATAATAATGATAAAATAATTTAGCTATTTTTTCTTTTTAATTTTCTTAAATATATGTAATCAAGATACAATATTCTGAAGTAAAAAAAAGTAATATTTGTAAAAGTTATTTATAGTCGTCATTTCATCGTATATTCTAGGACCTTGGGGAAACACTGGCTTATAGGCTACACGGGCCAGGGTAGAGCGAGCTCCTTTATTACATTACTATTAGACTATTATTATTACTTTTTTTTTTAACAAATGAAATATGTAAAATGTTTTATTAACAAGTAGTAGTCTTAAACAATTTTATTACTCACCTGGCTCTGTTATATATAACAGAGGAAAAGTGTGGCAATCGTTAATAAATTACAAAGTGGTTAATTATACATACAGTACGTATACTCAATTGGCTATTTAACTCTTTTAAAGCAATGACATAAAGATGACAGTTTTAATGTTATTTATAATTTAGGATATCGTAAATTTCGATTATTGATATCCTAATTATGATATCGATTATTGAGAAATGAGAATTAAAAATAATGGCACTGAGGAAAATCTTGATAGCAAAATATCAAAATTTTATAATACATCGGTGGAAACATGTTCTTGTTCATTTTGGAATTCTTTTAGTGCACCATGTCGTCATATTCTTATGATAAGAAAATATAAGAATTTGGATATATTTTCAAAAATTGCTTTCATGCAAGATATATTATTTCAATTGAAAATGCACTAAGTATGGATACAGATGATGTAAATGTAGACATCGATGATTATATTGAAGATGAAACTTTTACTGATTGATTTTGATTGTCCCAACAAAAAATTCTGGGATGTTTTCTGTGGGCACAATTTTGTTCACCTTCTTTGAAGCTTAATAACTTCTGTGCTTTTTGTCGAAAATTTCTGAAGGTTTGCAGGGAGGTTTGTGTATTAGGGGCATTGATGTTATTAATTTTTGGTGGTTAAAGGCCAAGGGGGTAGAGGAGATAAAGAAGTCGAGTGGTCGTATCTCGAGTAGGATCTGATTTAATGATAATTTTCCGCGTTGTTAGACATTTACACGCAGTTTTAAATGTCGCCGGGAAAGTTAAGTAACTCGTTGCTGGATTTTTTTTTTGGCTGCAATTTGAAAAAATTGTAGACCTATAAATTCCACATGTCTGTCAGTCCTTCCTTAATCTCGAGAACGGAGTTATACAAAAAGACGAGACCAGATATGGAAAACCTTAAGGGCAGGAGGCATCGATTAACTGTATATGAACTTCCGATATAAACTGGAAGTCACTTTATTGCAATTCAAAAAATTTCCCCCAGAAAGATGTTAGATAGATCGGCATGACTCTATCGTTCAAGGAAAAGTATGATGTACTGTACTGTACACTACAGTATTAATTTGAGGTGAAGAGCATATATTTTAAATTAAAAAAATTAAAAATATGATTAATAAAAATTGCAGCCCGGCATTGTGTCGATGTCACAATAAATAATTGCTCGTTATTAGTAAAAATAACATAAATTTTTAGGAATCGAAACCATTACGACCCGCAAATTGTATCCGGAGGCAAATCCCAGCCTCTCCTCTCGAAGGACTTCCTAGTAACAATCGAAAGATATAAGTATAGACGTTTATCGTCTACAAATAGAAAAATATTACTCCCTTAACTGCTCTTTATAAGGCGAAGGATGTAAGATGTGTAATTATTAAGCACCCCATTAACGTCTAAAATCCTGTTGGGTAGAAATAGCCAAAAGCTTAAGTTTTACACAAGTTGTAGCATATAAATTTTTGTCCATAAAATTTGTTGTTACATATTTATACTTAACATACTGAATTTTTGCTAAGAGTGTGCTAATTAGTTAAAAATTGCTTTATTTGTTTTACTGAAAACAATTTTATTTTTTCATTAGAATTATATTGTTAATTTAGTACTTTATACGGAAATATGAAACTTTGCAGTACAGTATAATATTTAACCACAAAATACTATTAAATTCAGGTAACTAAAAATATCTAATACTAGCAGATGAGCTAGGCGTTGCTCGGGCAAAAAGTAACAATAGCGAAGATTAAGATTATTAGATTATAGCCGATCTTACCCGTTTTCACCGGGTGCAAGAATTAGGTTCACTTTCTTTCGAGACTAATTAGAGAATTTTTGGATGGGTCTAAATATATGTTCGATTTCCCACAGAAATGCAAAAAATCGCATCTAAAATAGTACAGCAGAATCCGAGTTCGGGGTAATCCTTAACATCATCAACCCATCTCGATTATATAATAAAATGAAACGTTTTCAGCCTAATTTGTCTTCAGCATTGAATGCACGAACGGAATAGAAAAAGTATTTTTAAAACAGTTTCGTACTGTTTTTACTTTAATACATTTGGTCGTAACACTTGAAGATAAAGCATCATCGCCATGAGTTCATGATCACGAATAGAAATAAAAAATATTGCAGCTGTAGAGCGATATATCGAATTATAAATGTAAGTTTATCTGAATGGCATCTGGAATCTAATTAATCGAAATGGAAAACATATTCAATAAGTTGATCATTATCACTTGCTGCCATTTGAAATCTCAGACTAGCACTTTCGATTGTTGACTGCAATATCTCTGATTTGAATCCATGCTAAATATTTTAAGTGCCAGCTAAAAATTATTTCTAGGCGTATCTTTTTAACACAGTTTGCTATGGATGGAGGGACACATCTTGCATGAAGACTGCTGATTCAAGACATTGACATTGGAGTGCTGAAATCACGGTATTGGTCAATAACGATGCATATAGCTGATTTGCTGCCCGGTAAAGGAACATAATGGGACCTGAGGGCTTGAGTTCCTCTTACCACACTGGGCCAATAGTAAACAATTAAGAAAACCTGCACAAACTTACTTTTGGGGAGTGTAAAGGAATTGCATTGCCCGATACATGGGTTTTCCCTGGCCCAAACTCGACAATTATGCATGCTAACAGTACCATGTATAGTAGATGGAAATGTGCCTTATTTGTGCACAAAAATTTCTGGTGGTATTTTTTTAATTACTTTTTTTGTGACTTTCCTTTCCGGAGCCTCATTAATACGTACTGAAATTTTCTTACAATTCCATTGAGCAGTTTTCCTGCAGACTGCTTGGAATACGTAAACTTGGTAATGTAGATAATTAATGTAGATAATTGTCTTCTTTCGAATTAATATTTAAAATAAACTTTCAGATATTAGCAGCCACGTTGAAGCAGCGTTAAAATCACTATCAAAGGGATGTTATTTGTATAAAGTAAGAAGCGCAAAGCATTTCTATCGTCGAAGATACTACCTTGATTTTCAGAATTTATGTTTAAAATATCAGTCGAAGAGGAGAAAATTTTGTAATCGTCCACCTCTTTTTGGTAAGTTCTTATGGATATTAATTTAATTTTCCATTGTTAAATTTGCTTATATTTTTGTAGTCGACCTCTACACCATTGAAGAAATTAGAACGGGATGGAACACCGATATATTCAATCAGGTGCAAGCTATGGTAAGAACAAACAGGAAGATTCCAATATTTGTGGATGAGGATCGTTGCTTTTCGTTAGTGATCAATTCCACTCACGAAACATTGGATCTTGTCGCACCAAATAAAGAAATCAAAGAATTATGGATCGAGGGATTGAAGCATATTTTGGCAATGTGTCAAAATTTACATCGTGAAGAAGAATATGACAGGTAGGTTATTGTTTATACAGGAATCAACGTTATGTATTGGTCAGGTTTTGTGCATATTGACTTGTCTACCATTTTATGAAAGTATGGACTGACTAGTGTACTGCTGTGAAGCAACTCGTAACAACTATTAAACTGTGATTTAATATTTTTATAAATTGTCACACAATCTAATACTGTAATTCCAAAATTTCAATACAAATTGCCTTTCCAAAATTAAAAACTAAGATGTAGCGTATATGATTATTTACTCTTGTGGCCGCCAGCGCCAGAGATCCTGAACACTGTCTGGCAACACTTGCCAAGATCACGAACTCTGTCTGGCAACACTTGCCAACAAGAGTGGCTGGCAACGTCAAAAAAGAAAAGGCGCGAAAGTTCGTTGGATTTTGTCCGGGTGTTGCCCGAGGATGTCTGTGACAGTTCTAACCTTTTCTAATAAAGTTCTTTTTTGTTACTGTTCGTGTTTGCCTGCTTAATGTTAGATCTAAACATCAGTAGGATTGAATGACAAAG